CATGCAAATCAAAATTATTTTTGTTGAATTTTGTTCTAATTTAATTGTGAGCTTTTATGTTGAAGAAATTGAGTATTTTGGAATTGTGTAATCATATACTAAATTTGCAATAAACTTATGTACCTCAACATTCTGAGGTTATTATAAAATACAAGAGCGATTATGCCGTTAATTCAATAACATCATTCAAAATTAAAAAAAAAAAAACCATTCATACCGAGTACAATTCGATTCATCATGAATCAATTTTTTTAAATTCATTTTACTACTGCTTCTAATCTAATCTTACTTAAAAGTAAATATACTAAATTATACTATTCACAGACTTCCGTTGCATTTGCACAGATTTACACCCTAGTCGCGCCTAGAGAAGTTTTACTTGGAAAATTCAAAGTCGACTACAAGAAAGACTTTTAGACAAAATCACATGTATCAATTTTCTCACCTGATCTACCACACTTTTGATAGCAGGTTCAGCCAAGGCATCAGCCAAGGTCCCAATCCCAGTATGGGCGATCCTGTTATCATCACTGATGATGACACTTTCTTTTATCAATCCTTCAGGATCCCTATGGGCAGATGGTGCCAAGGGTTCCAGAAGTAGGGGTGATTCTAAGGAATGGTGACTACTGGCGATGGTGACTTTCGTTTTATTTCTGTTTCCCGTTCTACTCGTGCTGGTCACCACACTTATATCAGTCGATGATGGGAGTTGGTCACATAGGGAAATCTGGAAAAAGATAAAGGACAAATGTAGTTATAATATTTTTAACTTCGCGTAGGGTTAGTGAAGTTATAGTAATGAATTTATTTTTTACTCGATTTTTTTTAAATCTAACATTTTCAAAAAAATAAAAAAAATTGCAATTGTTTCTCGTAACTAAAAATACACACGGTGTTTGTGGAGGGGGTTACCAATTAATTTTGAATTGATTTGTAATTAAAAAGGACTTAGTAAGTGATTTATTTAGAATCTTACCTGTAGTAGTATTGCAAGAATAAGATGCCTGTGTAAGTTCCGCATTTTCTGAAAAAAAAAACAAAAAAATATAAATCTATATATAAAAGCATATTTTACCTATTGGCAAGTAGCAAAAATTGCATAGGATATGAAATTAAAAATATATATACATGTATAAACTAATATAAAATTTATTTCTATTTTAGTATTTTTTAATTATCGAACATTTTGTCGGGACTAAAAATGATATCGAAATTTCTATAATTATAAATCGAGTTCAATTATAAATTGAGTTTTCAATAAACTGACATCACCAACGAGGCAACATCAGATAATTGTGGTTTCACTTCTAATAATAAATGGCTCACTTCGGCCATAAATCTTCTAAATTTTTTTGATACAATTTTTGTTTGGTTACTTAATTTTTTGTATCACCAATCGGTAGGGGAGGGGGGGGTCCAAAAAACCTTAAAAAATTCATCACGTGATTAATGGACGCCGCCGGATGGTTTTATACTCTTGATTTAAGGCAAAATGTCACTTACACCTAGAGTTATATAATACCTTTGTACATTTATAGTACTTTTAAGTATTTTTAACTCCTTAAGTACATAGTTTGAAATCGAAAATGAATTTTTTTTGCATATCTTCACGTTTCAGAGGTTCCTGAACATTTTGGCATACCTTAGAATAAATTGATGTGTGTGTGTGTTTTGTGTGTCCGCATTTTTTCGTCTACGTTTTCAGGCGTACGGATCAACCGATTTAAATGGTTAAAAAAACATTCGATTCCTATTGATGGGGAGATGTGCTAATCAGTTTTTGGCAAAGGCAGGTTCAGCCGTTTCGGAAATACGGAGCCAACAGTGCAAAAAATGACAGTTTTTGAGAGAACTTAACGTCCGATTTGAATGATTCAAAAAGCTTTCTGCTTGTGTTGACAAAACAATTGCTTGGAAAAAAAATTCTTATTTCCATTTTTTTTTTAATTTTTTTTTAGTATATCAAATATAATTCTTATAAATATTAGACAATGTTTATATTCTTATAATATTAGACAATGACAATACTTATAATAATCTATTTGAAAACATTTGAAATTCCTCAAATATTACATTACGTTACGGGAAGTTCCAGCAATTTGCCTTAAGGCACGATGCCATGCACCCCACTAGTTTCTAAATTTAGTAAATTTTTGTATGGCGATAGTGTACATGGTCTTGATGAACATATCAAAATATTAAGCCTAGAAAAAGTGGTTCAATTATGAAAAATGTGTATGTATTTGTCACGTACGTATTCGTTTTTTAATAATATTTGACAAAAAAATTGTACATAATTGAATAATCTGCAAAAGTTTCTCACATTATCACTCATAAATTAATATATCAATTTATTATCGGTAAAAACGATTATTTAAACATATCAGGAAGTTCATGTAACTTGCCTTGGAAAAATGCCACTTACAACTAGTATTTATCCACGTCTTGGCAAAAACTCTTGAACCGATTTTAAAAATTGAAAAATATCATTAGAAAATCGTACTAATTGGTTCAGGTCTTCATGTAGCTTGTCTTAAGGCAAAATACCACTTACAACTAGTTGCATAATATACTTTAAAACATTCCTACTTGTTCATCTGAGATTTAAAATTAGCGCCAAATCAAACAGCAAAACTCCTTCCTCCTACTCCTACCATAGACAATCCACTACACTTCAAATAGACACCGCTACCACTCCCTCTTAAACAAATTCAAATTTCCAAATTTAAATTTGCCGCCTAAATTTGCAATCGCCTATCAATTATCGATGTCTCATCTAACATTAACAAATTGCAGTATCTTTGTCCCTTTCATTCCCGAATGTGCTGTTGCCAAGGGCATTTCTTTTCGGTGCAACCGCGGACGAGGACGGACGTGTTAATAAAAATTAATTAATTAAAAATCCGTTGATATCGGTTGTAATTGTTGACGATTATTAAATATTAATATTAAATGGTTAATTAAATATTATTTGCGAAAGGTACGTTTTGGTATTTGCGTAAAATTTGGTGCGTTTTTGGTTTTTCGCACGTGGTGTGTTCTTGAAGCCGATTTTATGCAAGGTCATCGAAGAAGACATTACATGGGACGTTATTTGTATATAATTACTTAAATATTTTATTTGTTTCCGATATGTATCACGTATTTTACATAATTTTTTAATAATTTAATAATAAATGACGTCTTTGTATTCGAGTATATTTTTTTTTGTATCTTGAAGTTTGTATTTTTGTATCTTAAATTTTCTAGAGGGTGATATTATGCTTTACTACGTACGTTAAATAATTATCTATTAAAAACAAAGTTTTTGCATCTGAATTTAAATTTAAATTTAAATTGATTAGATTGGAATTAAATTAGATTAGAATTAGATTCTGTTTGGAATCGTGTTTCTTTCAAGTAAATACTTTTTCAACTAAGTAAATACCTTTTTCTTGTTTGATTTTATTTATGTACTTATTTAATTTGTAATATTTCATCATTTTTATGGTGCCCTCATGAAAATTTGATCAATTCTTCTTGTCAATACAAGTAAAATATTTTTTGAATTATTCAAATCGGACGCTCAATTCTCTTAAAAACTGAGTTACCGTTTTCGGTACTTTTTGTCTCGTATCTTTGGAACGGCTAGACCTGCCTTCGCCAAAAACTAATCAGCACGTCTCCTTACCAATACGAATCGAATGTTTTTTGAATTATTCAAATCGGTTGATCCGTGTTCCCGAAATCGTCGACGAAAATTTGTAACCGAACACATACACACACGCACATACACGCACACACACCACATACATCCAAAATCCAAGGCAAATCCAAGGTTTGCCAAAATATTCAGAAACCTTTGAAACGTCGAGAAATGCAAAAATTTTCATTTTCGATTTTTTTGCGATTACTATAACTTGCCCTACGGGAAGTTAAATATTTTAACAAATCTTTTTATTTATTTTTATTTAGTTACTTTTATCTTATTTTCATTTACTTACTTTTTTAATTGATTTTATATATACATTGTTACTTAAATAACAAGTTAATTTGATATTATTGTTTTCGTGTAACTTCATATATACTAAAGCATTTTATAGTTATTTTTTGGTAATTTTGTGCAATACAGAGTTTGATCTTGATATACCAATATAAACATTTTAGAATAACATAAAGTTTTCGGTAATTTTTGTAATAAAAATAATATCAATTCAGTACATTCAGTACATGAATTAATAATTTCAGTTTACGTTTTTGTATTCGAGTAAAATTAGATTTTTCTTGGTATTTTTGCATCTCAAGTTGATTTTGTGCGAAATCATTTTTCTTTTTTAAAATTCAATTAAATTTTACTTTTAGTCAATAGTTAATTTATTACATACGTATATTATTAATATATAATAAATTGTGTAATAAGATTGTAAAACTAAAATTTTGTTGTTGCATAAAATTGGCTTCTAGAACTTTTTTTAAACAATTTATATTTTTGCAACACATTAACTCAACAAAATTTAATAAATCATTCGCATTGCTTTAAAAAAATCTCGTTTTTCTACATAAAATAAATGTGTTTAAAATAAAGTGTATTATTTAAAATAAAGTGTTGGATAGTTGTAAAGACTTATAAAGTGTGTATATAAAGACTTATATAAGACTGATAGTGTCTGATATAAAGTTCTGGGACATTTTTTTTTGCTGAGATCCCGATCAGCTCTCTTCTGGAAATCTGGAGGTAAATATTAACATTTTTGATTTGATAATTAAAATTTTATTACAAATGTATGTATAATGTCAACGCATAAATAAATGTATATAAACTGAATAATAATATTCAGAAAATCTTCTGTAGTCATCATTTTTTATTCTGTATTTAGCAATAAATAGAAAATTCGGGACATTTTTCAGGTTTTTGTCAAATTATTCACAAATTTTATATGAAAGCATTCTTCTTAAGTTATACAGAGCGAAACTAGATAAAATATAAAAATATACTACATTTCCACGAAAACAGTTATATATAGTCTGATATAAAAGTTTTGAATAAAATGACCTTAAATTCGATATTTCATCATTCTTTAGCAATAAATAGAAAATTAGGGACATTTTTTTAGTTTTTGTCAAATAACTCACAAACTTTATGTGAAACCACTCTTTTTGAGTCTGAAACTAAATAAAATTTACTACGTATCCTTGTTAACTCTTATATATACTCCCATATAAAAGTTTTGAATAAAACGACTTTGAATTTGATATTTCGATAAGAAAAATAAAAACATTGATGTTCTCCAAAATTTTACGTTTCTTGCTCGAAATCGAAATTTTTCTTCAATTTACTAATTAATTTAATGATTAATTTTTTTTCTGTTTTAGACAACAAATTGGTAATCCAGATGTTCCAGAAGAATCGGTGCTTGTTCGCGTTTGGTGAGTTTTTTTCCAAAATTCTAAGCATGCTTTTTTGGATGGTATGACCAAAAATCGAATTCACAAATTTCAAATTGTAATAAAAAAAAAATTCAAATTACTTATAAAAAAATATTTTTCATATTCTATATACATTTTTGTGAAATCGATACAGTTTGTATGTGTACCCAATTTTATAATATATTTTTCAAGATCATTAATATTTTTTATATTTTTTTAAAATTTTTAATAATACATTTTTTTAGTCAAAGTCCCTTAGGTACACATACAAATTTGGCAAAATACAATAATTATTTAATAAAATTTTCTAATATTGTTTTTTGAGTACAGTAAAACCTCGTTAAGACGATTTTTTAGGGTCTATGCGGAAAAAGCGTCTTAAGCGTTATAGGGACAACATGTAGAAACCGACGTACAAAGGCGTATTAAGCGATAAATATATATTTAGGCGTAAACATCTTAACGGGGTTCTACTGTACTCAAAATTGTTAAATTCCCGATTTTTTGTTCCTTAAATAAATTTGATACTCAAATATTTATTTTGTATAATTTTTTTCTCAAACTAATTATTGTATTTTGTTCATAATTTTGTCCAAATTTGGTGAAGGGTTAGTC